AGGTTGTACATATATAAAAATAGAAATTATTTCTATTTAAAGTAATTAAAACTTTGATCGGAACAAATTATAATAAGTTTTAATTTTATTAGCTTAAAATAAATAAATATTTTAAAAGAAAATTTATCTAGAAAATAGTGTACTATACTCACCGATACTAAAATGATGTGCAGGTTCCTGTTATGGTAGTACATCAACTGCATTGAGATGGTTATTTCATCGTGCGAAAGTATTTTTAATGCTTTGATTTTAAAGAAAATGTTATTATTAAACTAAAAAACTGTTCCGTTTCGTTTATAAAAAAATTTCATCCGATCAAAACTTCACCAACGTCGCCGCCATTTTTATTTACATTTGTATACGTCATCACATAAAATTGAAACGTCATAAAAGCAAACGATCTTTTTGGATCATGAAAGAAATTGCCTGAACGGTTGCAGATATTTCGTGCAACCGTGATTTCTATATCACACGAGCGATTTTTGGAGAAATTTCACTTACAGTTGCACATATTTTCTCTCGTGTGATATAGCCATAAGACTCTTGAATTAAATAAAATTAAAAACAAAAATATTTTATTATCTAAATCAGTCTTTATGAAGATTAATTGAGTATTCCATAATTATTTATTACTTTTAAACAACATCAAATTTTAGGTGATGATTAGCTGTTGCAAGGAAATGAATTGATCGCTGTACAGTTTATTAAAAAAAATTAATCCAATTGGGTATAATATAGCCTACGTCACAGGTTGTGTTGTTCCTACTAAATTTAACCCATGAACGGTATTTTCTGCGAGCCTAACTTCAAGCCACAAATAAACAAACGAAGTGTTCGATCGTTTAAATAGCTGCGCGCCAGATTTTATTGCATTATAAAGAAAAATTATTGAAACTAAATACAACTAAATGAACAACAACAACTAAAACAAATAACAACAACTACTAATAACAATAACTAAATAAACAACAACTAAATTCCATTCGTTTAGCATTGCGTCATATGTTGTTCCTACTAAATCGAAGTAGTTGTGTTTTTTTCATATTATACCCAATTATCAGAAGAGTCGTTACCAAATTAATTGTCTTAGAATAAATGCTTAGTTTCATTTGAAATTAGTGAAACACTTTAATTAAAAATGTTCAGCTCTGTTTCAAAAATATTAAAACGAATATTAAATTCTTATATTGTCAAGATCACAGATATCCAAACATGTGACCTATGACGTCAACGTCAGATGTTCAATTATAAACAAAATTACTAAATTTCTCCAAATAAATTAGAACGTTAATTAACGAGAAGTTCATTAAATAGAGATGCATCAGAGCTCTATACCCAGAACACAACTTGGCATCGGGGCTCTCTCTTTCGCATCACTTATGGATACTTCAGACAATCGCAAACTTCAATCATTTCTGCAATTCCTAAAAGCTATCTATCTGCTATTGATGATCAAAATAGGCTACAGGTGGCGTAGAGAGACTCTCTATTTATGGTAGCACTTTGCATGCTTTCACCGTTAGCGTGTGGAGAAGTACGGCAGTTTCTTCTTGCTTTTCAAATAGATAAAAGACATTTAAATTTGGATACTATATGGAACTGAAAACTACATTGAACATAGTTCTAAAAATTTAAAATTATTAGGAAAAATATAATAAAAGTTAGAATTGTTGAAAAATATTAAGAAAAGGGAAAATTTCGAAGCAGATTCCAACACAACTAAGAAAAGGACGGCAAAGACATGGAACTGCTCTTCTCCCCAGATATCGCAATCAAGCGTTGCGATCGCGAATAACCTTCATTCCTCACACTACGTAATTGATAAGCGAGCTATAAGTAAATATTGTAAGGAGCTCTAAAACTTCAGAACAGTTATCATTATCATCTTATGAACTTTTAAGCCGCTTATTTATAATCGTAGTATTCCCTTTTTTTAACAAATTTTTTTATACTTGGTATTGTTATTCATTGTTTTGTATTGAGCTAATGGTTCTAACTTGATTTTTAAAGGAATGATCATCAATTTAAAATTGATTTCTTTCTCCCTCCTATTTTAGAAAGAATTCTGCTTAATCATATGGATCTTTGAAGAAAAAAAAATATTTCAATAAAGTCATTTAAAAAAAACTTTGCTTGCTTACACTACAAATTATTCCTGCTATCCTGGTAAAACATTTTAGACAATATCTTTTTGCAGAAATGCTAATTGTAAGCAATGAGACTTCTTCACAGAGAAGGAATTAGAAAGAAAGAAAGAACATTATCATCATATTACGAAAAGTATGTGTGCATATTTTCTTGCAAAACTGTGATTTAAATAACTAAATATATCATGTTTTGAGATGAATAGTGTTATAAACAAGCATCTTTGTGCCGAAAATAAACCCTAGTTAAATTGTACAGATGAGAAATTACTTAACTATAAATTGTGTTTCAGTTGTGGTGCTTTCTTTAAAAAAATATTCTCACAAAAATTAATTGATTGTAGGAAGCATAGTAATTTATTTGCATTAATTAGAAAGCAGAAAATTCACAGATTATGGTGCTTTAATTAGACACTCCCTTGTTCACAACAGTGGTAATTTTATTATTTTTGTATGTCTATAGAATCTTATATAAATAATGAGTGATTGGGGAAAAATGTTTTTTTTTTCCCTTTCTGTTCTAGTTTAAATTGTTATTCTTGTTTAAATACTCTTGGTTCATTTCATTGAAAAACCTTGTTCATATTGTATAGGTGAAAAATCTTTCACACTGAAATCTGATTTAAATAGATAACTGTTTGGCTATACTATTGATAAACTTTCTATGTGCTTTCACACAGAACTTAAGGAGAATAACCTGATTTGGGCAGAATGTGTAATAAAATATTCTTGTACAACTCAGTTAAAAGATCCCTCTGTTGTTCATATTTGTAAGAAACCTTACTTTTAAAAGTATATTTAAAAAATCTTATCTGGTTAGGAGTAATAAAAATAAACAGTTTGTTTTTCATTCTGGAATTACAATATGTGTGATAAACCTTGCCCACGGCCCTATGCATGTAGTGTCAATGACATATTCCAGGGATGAGATTTTTCCGCTTTTTAGCGGATTTCCGCTTTTTTCACCTTTATCTCTTGAATTTCAGCTTTTTTATCAAAAATTCAGATTTTCTAAAAATTTCACTTTTTTTATAAGTATTCCGCTTTTTTAGAAAATTCACCGATTTTCAGAGAGAAACAGAAAATTCAAACTACATAGCTACCAATTCTTTCTCATTTTTACTTATTTTAGCTATTTTCTCCCCTTTTACACGCAGCAGATAAGATTTTCCGAATTTTTGACCCGCCCTCCAAATAGATCCGATTTTTGTAGTTCAAACGACGCTGTTTCTGACAAGCCTTTTAAAGGTCCCAAGCCTGGAATCTGCTAATATCTCGATTCTTATTCACACGATTTTAATATCAAACATAGCTTTTCATATTTGCGTGTTGCGATTCTTATTCACGCGATTTGAATATTGTACGTTGTGCTTCGTATTTACGCCTTTTTAAAAACCTATGAAGCGATTCGTATTCCCGCAAGTTTAAAATTCAATGTCTTGATTTGCTCATGCTGTTTATAATATCAAACATTGATTTTCATTTATACGTGATTTTAAAATAAGGCATTGGGATTCGCATTCACGCATTCTAAAAATTATGCATCATAATTCTTATTTATGCAATCTAAAAATTACGCATCATGATTCGTATTTACGCGATCTAAAAATTATGAATCGGGATTTGTATTTACGCGTTTTAAAAATTCTATATCCCAGTTTGTATTTTCTCATTTTCAAAATCGTATATCTAGTTTCATATTCATGTGATTTCAAAATCCATAATTGTTATTCATATTCACACAATTTTAAGATCAACTCTCGCGATTCTTGTAAGAAGTAAATTTTTTTTAAAAATTAGTTACTATAAAAGTGACTGTTTTTCTAACGACGATTATTAGTATGTATATGTAAGTGTTACAACATCAGAGAAACTGGAAGGGAATATATTCAAAACTTACATTCTGTGCTAGCAAAGAAGAAAAAATAGGATTTGTCACAAAATGTTTGAAAATGGACTAACGACTAAATATAGCAAACATAAAAGATATAGGAAACAAAAGCAATAACTTAAAAAGGGATTCAATTTAATTTTTTTTTGTTGGAAAAAGAGTTAATAGTTAAAAGAGTTAACTCATTATCAAAATTTTATTTGTAATTGCTGTTATTTATGCTATAAAATGCAAAATTCTTATCAAATAAAAAACAATTATCTAAACAGTTGCTGATTGTCATGTAATTTTTCAAACTAAAATACCAATTTTTGTATGTTAAGGAGTTACTATATATTTCTACTTCACTGTTATTGATATGTTTCAAAGGGCTGTAGTTAGATTAGACTATAACATGAACATAATGATTTGGTTCATTGTTAAAGTTTTTTTTTCCCAATATAATTTAAAAAGTAATATTACTGATATATTTGCTATAAATCACATAACAGTATTTATTAAAAGAAATGAAATATTAATGTATATTCTCAGTAGTTTTAATTTGCTAAACCAGGTAGTTTTTCAAGTAATAATTGTCTCTTATGTGAACTGAGGAAAAATATAATTTCCAGCTTTATTTTTTCAATTGGTAATTTTTATTTTCACTAAATGTTAAGTATCAATGTAATCATTTATATAATAATAGATTAGTACACAATTGTATGTCAGCACATTATTTATTACCTTAAACTGTCCGGAATTTATTATTAAAGGGTTGCGCTTGCGTAAAATTTACTATCATGGAAATTCAGCTTTTTTACCTTTTGGCTAATCTCATCCCTGATATTCCCAAAGAAAACTGATTTAAAAAAACTGCCACTAGCTCATAATGGCAAAAAATCTTATTCATGCAGTGCGTGTGATAAATCCTTCACACTGAAATGTAATTTAAAGAGACACTCTCTACTTCATAGTGGAGAAAAAACTTATTCATGCTCTGTATGTAAAAAATCCTTCACACAGAACTCTAGCTTAAAAAGATACTTTCTTATTCATAGTGGCAAACAACCTTTTTCATGCTATGTTTGTGATAAAACATTCACACGGAAGACTTATTTAACAGATCACTCTCATCTCCATAGTGCAGAAAAACCTTATTCGTGCAGTATTTGTTCTAAATCCTTCACACATAAAAGTGGTTTAAGTAAACATGCTGTTGTTCATATTAGAGAGAAGCCTTATCCTTGTTGTATATGTGATAAATTTTATGTGCAAAAATCCCATTTAGAGGAACACTATCTTGTTCATACCGGAGAGAAACCTTTTTCGTGCAACGTGTGTGATAAAACGTTTAAGCAAAAAACTTGTCTCAAAGAACACCTTTTTGTTCACAGCGGAGAGAAGCCTTATTCATGCAGTTTGTGCGACAAAACATTCTTGCGGAAGTCAAATTTAAAAGCACACTCTTACAGTCATACCGGAGAGAAACGTTATTCGTGCACTTGCAGTGTGTGTGAAAAAACATTTTCTCATAAATCGTATCTGAAAGAACACTACACTGTTCATACTGGAGAGAAACCTTATTCATGCAATGTGTGTAAAAAATCTTTTCCGCAGAGATCTAATTTACACACGCACTATCTTCTTCATACTGGAGAGAAACCTTATTCATGCAGTGTGTGTCATAAATCTTTCAGGCAGTCATATGTTACTCATAGTCATATGTTCATATGTTACTAATTTAAAATAACAAAAGCGCTGTGTTTACAAAAAAAAAATTATTTTTTAATTTAACATGTAATAAATTTTTATTCTAATATTATGGGTGAAATTCTCACATTTTGTTGGGGAGAGGGTAGTAATGCATAAATTATTTCAGTCCTTGCATTTTGTAAATAATCATCACAGTAAAAAAAAAAAATGAAATCCATTGCCGAAATATATTGGGATATTTAAAAACCAATAACTACCAAAAATACAATCGAAACATTACATCCATTTACAATGCTGTCGGCGTAAATTAAGCACGTCAAGAAGTGGTTGTTTAAATGCACAATTCAAATATTGCATGTAAGTTTCTGTAGAAAAGAAAACTAAAATTTTTTCCTTAAAAAAAAAAAAATTCTGTAAGAACTCTATAGCGTTCTGCCATAATGTCGCCATGTCTCTGCGATTCTGTCACGGAGGACAAATCCACATAAGCAACAAAAAATTCAAGTTTGAAATTTTTATATTCTGGTATTTTAGCATAATAAACATTGCAAAAAAAAAAATAATAATCAGTTATTTGAAATTCTATTTTAGTGTTAATAATAATATTAGCAGGGGAAAGGAAGGAAAATAGCTATCAAGTCTACTCCGCTTTTCTTGAAATTTATCACGAAGCAAACTTAACTTACTAAATTTTTATACTGGTATAAGAAATTAAGAGAATTTGAAAAGTTGGTTGATTATCCCTAGAACTTACACTCCTCATTCCATGCTTAAGAAAACATTCTTAAATGAAGAATTGGAAAATAATGATAAAATTGTTTATTCTAATTCTAAGCATTTTGTGAGCAACCTTATTTTTGCTATATCTGATCTGAATAAGTGACATAAAAAAATATTTTATTTTTCAGCCTGCAAAAGAGCTTTTTTCATGCAACATGTGTAATAACTCTTTCAAAAGGAACTCTAGTTTAAATAGTCAGCCTATAGCAGGTTGACCATTGAAGAGCTGCTTGCCGAAGTACTTAAACATATTGACTACAATTAGGGTAATTTTTATTATTAGGGTAATTTTTATATTATGCAAAAAATTGAATGCTTATAAATATTAAAGTTCATTCAAACCTAGAGAACTCCTACTTAATATTAAAAAAAAAAAGAAAAATAATAATAATTTCCTTCAAAGGTTTATTGTAGGAAGTAAAAAGACAGAAAAAAAAGTGTTCTTTTTTTATTACATTGTTTGATACAAAGGTTTATTTAAGATAAGTAAACTACGAAAGTAAAATGAATATTTCATAGAATGCCAATTAAATATTTTAATTTATAAAGTTAAAAATATAGAGAAAATATGAAAAAAATATAATATTAAAATAAAATATTTTTTAAAAATTATTTAAAATTTTAACAAATTAAGAGAATAAGAAAAGGACCTTTTCCTTATTTTGTTTTCCAATTTTATATTTTTAAAATTCTAAAAAAACTTTATTTTAATAATTTTTTCTCTTTTAAAAGTCTTACTATTTTCCCCATTTTTTCTCTATATTTTTAACTTATTTTATGAGTTCTCTGTACTTTCAGTTTATGTGTAGTGAATAAAACTTATTATTTTTCTTAATTTTCTTCGTTAATCTCTCTTTTCTTTTATTCTTTTTGTCTTCATTGTGTTATATATGAATGTTTCACTTGCCAAATCTTAACTCCATAAAACAAGAAGTTGAGAAAAATGATAATATAGTATATATTGTTTTTTAAAAAATCTTCTTAAATTAGAAACTCAAAAATACAAACAAAGACTTTAAGACATTTTGACAAAGACCTTAAGAGTTGTAATAAAATATTTGATGTTGTGTTGCAAAGAATAAAATCTTCATGGATACTTATTAAATTTTCCCTGCTGTTCTACTCTGAAGTTTTAAGCCAAAATTTCTTGCTTGCTTGTTTTTTATTATATTGAAAATGGATGAGATGAAGGCAATAGAATGTTTAACAAACAATAATAACAATACTTTATTCATTATGTGTTTACATTGGTGTGCTATATTTGACTCTGTTACATCATTAAGTTTAGTTTGCTTTCTAAAGAGAGCACCAATTGGTACTAAAAAAGATAGTTACAAAAATACCTCAAAAAACATTACATTGCTTAAGTCTTAAACATGGCAGGAATTTATTCACAGACTAACAGAATTTTCATTCGAAATTATGCGAAATAAATATTTTACATATGTGATTAGGATATATAAAATAAATATTTTAAATATGAACCTACCATCATATGTACATAATAATTCATATGTCATAAGTAAAATAAATATTTTACATATGAACCTACCAAAGAAAATGGCATATTTTTATATTGTTAATTATGATTTAATTCATTGTAATACTTCGTTTAATAAATCATATGCCCTCGTTTTATAAAAATGTTGCTACTATAAAATAAATTTAACCTATTCTGCATGTAATGGTAGCTAATTTAGTCCTTTCCAGTATCAATAATCAAAATTCTGAAGAGGTTCAATTCTTTATTCTGTGTCACACTCGTCATTTTACAATCAAGTCATTTTACTATACAATAAATTATTTACAGACTTGGTTTATTACACAGCTCTCTGATTATCTTATATCAAGGAAAACATTCAAACTGATTATTACAATTGTACATTTAAAATACATAAAATTGGCAATTTCTTTTTAATAAAAGTATATACAGCTAAAATTGGATGTCAGTTTCATGTTTGGAGAACGCTCACTATGAGAACCCGTAATGCAGAATACAAGCATGTTTAAGAATTGCAAAGATTTATCCATGCCATAATCTGTAGAAAAAGAAGAATTACCACTTAACGAAAACTAAGATACTTCAGCTTGTACATGTTTCCCTTCTTCTGGTAGTCTACAAATAAAAAAGAAAGATAAAAATTAGGTATCAGTTAATCATTTTTTCACATAATGTTGATGATCAATACATTTAATGCTGAAAGTCTGCATATAGAAATTCCTGAACCGAAAAGAAAAAAAAAAAAAAAATGTCAGGGCAAATGCCGAGAAGGGCAGGATTAAAAGATGTGATATTGTGCACTTTATTATTTTTTAAAACCATATGATATATGAAGATGTGCAACGTGTCCCACTTTAAAAAAAAAAAAAAATAATCAGAATTAGTTTTGCAGCCATTAAATTTTTCAAAGTTCACTGTTTTTTTGGTTGTTTTTTTTTGCAGTTATTTTAGTGTAAACGAAACGGAATTGCAGTAGAATATTATCTTTTTTCAGTCACGTAATCTATTTTATGTTTAAAGGCATTGGACATTGTTTATTGGACACAGGTTTATGGACATTGCTCTGTTTAAAAATTAGTTTTTAAGTTAATCGATTTATAAGTTCAGTTTTCGACAAAATTTATTCATGTAATCCCAATAAAATAAAATATCCTATTTTTCCCGTTTTTTTCTATCTATTTTTTTTAAAAATAAAACATAGCCATACACTGACTTTTTTTAATAGATTCTTTTAATTCGATCTTAATATATTAAAACCTTTTTTTAAATACATCTTAATATTTATTCAAATTAGTACAGAGGACTTTTTAAAAATAAAATTCACCCCAAATTTTTCAGCCATCTACATGCCTTTGCATTTTCGGTAAAATGAGAGTTAATGAAATTCATTTATCGATTTTCTCCGCCATTTTTCCAAGTTAAAATTAACTGCGGAATCGGCAGAAATAAATTCTAACATTGCAATTTTCCCCCTCATTGTTACCAAATCGGCAATTTTTCTGATATACTCTAAAAAGTAAATAAAGTATAAAATTCGGAGAAAAAATTCATCCTGCTCAGGGACCGAAGGTGCGCGGTATCGGTTCTTGTTAGACTGTTGTATATGAAGTGTTTGACTTCTCGAACAGGTCGTCGGGGATACTAAAGTGGAATAGCCATCCCTTCTGCAGAGGATCGAAATTGGGATGGCATGTCTTCAAGTCATCCTCAAGAACGTTTCTCAGATCGTCGCCACTAGCCTATTGTGCAGTTCTAGTGTGACATCTATGAGGTATTACTACTCACTCGTTTTGACGTTTATTACACCTTCCTTCCTGTACTATGAATTTGTCAAATTTCAATATCGTTTTTGTTTTCTCCTCGCTTAAAAAATAATTTGCGACCCCCAAAGTATATACTTCATTATTTTCATTTTTGATGAGGATTCACGAATTAAATATTAAGAGGCTGGGATAGCCTGGTAGGTAGGGCACTGAGCCCATGTCCAAGAAGTCATGGGTTCGATGCCCGCCAGCCGAAGACTCCTCGTGTAGTAAATGGTGACTGATGCACGTTAAATCTGTCGAGTCAAAGTACTTCATGTTCCCATGACTAATCATAATCGTGAGTGGGGGTACTGATCCAGGAGTTTCGTTGTCTTCTGGATTCGTACAAAGGCTACGGACAGAGCCGGATTATTCCTTTCGTAGGCCCTAGGCATAGCCGTTTTTGGGCCCTCCCCCCACTCCTCCCCTCTTTTCAAAATATATACTAAAATTTTCTTGCATATTTTTTTTTTACATTTTTATTAATATGGATTTTAATTTACAAATTTGTTCATCGAACTTTATCTGCAATACCGACATACTACCGATATTGCAGTTGATATCGATAATACCATTTTGATTAGTTCGATCTTCGATCGATAACTATGTAAACAGTTCACGTATTAGATCATAAGATTCTGCAAAATAATTTATTACCGTAAAATATTATATTTTTATTCGTATCTTCATAATTTTGTGCATAATACACTTGTTGTTTTTAAAGCTAAATTATTTTTGTCAACAAATTTTTTTCTTCCAAGTTTTTCGTAGGCCCTAGGCACGTGCCTAGTGTGCCTATAGGTTAATCCGGCCTTGGCTACGGAACATTAGTAGTCGTAAGCCCAAAATTTGGCCGGCTGTTCAACGACGGTTAATAAAAAAAAAGAAGAAAGAAATACATAGTAAGGGTGGGATATACAGAACACCCTGTATGTCGGGAAATATGTCTTACCCTGTCATTCGATAATTGCTCGCAGAAGAATGAACAATATCAAATGGCACAGGACGGTAACTTTTGCTTGGTGTATAAGGCTGGACGAATGCAACTTGGAAGGACGGAGTTCCGTTCTCAGTGTTCAAAGAGGATCGGTTGTAGCCCGAAGAGTGGAACTCTTTGTTTGCTGGAACACCGTTGAGGCCATGGTTCCGAGCACTGGAGGAATCTGAGTAGGAATAGGAAGAAGTAGAGGATGACTCTGACAAAGTAGATGGACTGCTTTCTCGCTGAGAATATGAAGAATCTCTACTGTTGTGGTCGCCACCATTTTTTCTGCAAAAAATTAATAATTTATTATAGCATACATGCTTTCTCAGAATAATCATATCATTTTTTAAACGGTTATTGACCCTCAAAATATTAGGGGTGGCCGCAGTATGAAAAATATGGTCCCAATAGTTTAGGCAGGAAAGCGGTCGAAACTTTAGACCCCTTAATGCTAACTTTAAATTTTTTGCTATTTTTTTTTTAAACCTTTTTCCGTACATTATCATATCTCAAAAACTTTTTAAATGAATCGAAAAAAATTTGTACCCAATTATGAAATTATCCAAATGATTTATTCAAAGAAAATTTCATGCAAAATATAATTTTTAATAATTATGCAAATATTAGGGATAGCTGCAGTATGGAAAACATGGTTCCAATAGTTTAGGCAGGAAAGCTGTCGAAACTTTGGAGCCCTTAATGCTAACTTTAAATTTTTTTTAAAACCTTTTTACGTACTTTATCATATCTCAAAAACTTTTTAAATGAATCGAAAAAAATTTTTACCCAATTATGAAATTATCCAAATGATTTATTCAAAGGAAATTTCATGCAAAATATAATTTTTAATAATTATGCAAGTATTAGGGGTCCCGCAGTGGACTGATCGTTAAGACACGGTTCCCAGCAGATCACCGAAGTCAAGCATCACTGGCTGCGGTCAGTGTGCGGGTGGATGACCACTTGGATCAGTCTGCGTAGGGACCGAGGGTGTGCGGTATTGGTCCTCGTTAAACTGTGCTACCGTAAAGTGCTCGACTTCGCGCGCAGGTCGTCGGGCTACCGAAGCGGGGGTGCCATCCCCTCCGCAGAGGATCAAAATTGTGATAGTATGTCTTCGGATCATCCTCCGGGATGTTTCCCAGACCGTCGCCAATAGCTCATTGTGCAGCTCTAGTGCGACGTAAATTAACAGCAACAGCAAGTATTAGGGATAGCCGCAATATGGAAAACATGGTCTCAATAGTTTAGGCAGGAAAGCTGTCGAAACTATGGAGCCCTTAATGCTAACTTTACATTTTTTGTTATTTTTTAAAAAATTTTTTTACGAACTTTATCATATCTCAAAAACTTTTTAAATGAATCGAAAAAAATTTGTACCCAATTATGAAATTATCCAAATGAAATAAATCATTTGGATAATTTCATAATTGGGTACAAATTTTCATAATCGGGACAAAGGAAATACCTTCATACGGGACCTTCATACACAAAGGAAATTTCATGCAAAATATAATTTTTAATAATTATGCAAATATTAGGGATAGCCGCAGTATGGAAAACATGGTTCTAATAGTTTAGGCAGGAAAGCTGTCGAAACGTTGGAGTCCTTAATGCTAACTTTACATTTTTTGTTATTTCTTTAAAAACCTTTTTACGTGTATTATCATATCTCAAAAACTTTTTAAATGGATCAAAAAAAGTTAGTACCCAATTATAAAAATATCCGAATGATTTATTCAAAGGAAATTCCCATGTAAACTATAATTCTTAATAATTATTTATTTTATATTATTTTAATTTATTTTTAATGTTTTTTTATCATTTTGAATGGCAAAATACAAAATCAATCGAATAGTGTCTGAGTTATCAATTTTTATCAAAGCCGTATATTTAAAGTTATTCAGAGTGTTCACTTTTTTTATTTCGCACGATGTATATTTTTTTGCTTCCTTTAATATGCAATAGAAAAAGATGTTAAGGCATCAAAAAAAATTTTTTAATTTTTTATTCCTAACTCCTTTATTCACGGTAAACTAACATGTAAAAATTTAAAGATTTTTCGAGCCCAGAAATATTTACTCTATTCGAAAATATCTCTCAAAACTGTCTAATACAAGGCCATTTAGAATTTGAGAACTATATCCCGCAGTAGTTAATATTTTATATCATTGTTTTCAGAATTATGATCAATATCTTTGTTTTTACGTTAAAAGAAATTTTCAGTATTATTTAAAATGAATTTAATTATTTTTTAACAATAATAAAATTTTTAAAAAAAACTAGTATTAGTAATAAATTAATGTTCTTCTGTTATAAATTATTCACTAAAAACTATTAATAGTATAATTTTATTGCCTTATATTTCTTAGAAATTTTTTTTTTCGAAAGATATCATCCTCAATCGTTTGTAATTTTTTTTAAAAAAAAACAAACATTATACATGTTTTAAGAGTCTGTGTAAAAAATTACACATTACTGGAGATCAAAGATAAATCGAAAGTCGTTATGGAGAAATCTTCAGAGGAAGACATTGGCTCACATTGGCCTGTCTGGCTAACTATGATGATGATGACATTCTGGAATTCTAAAATGCTATAATAAAAAAAAGATAGATTTAAAAATGAATTACTGGGCATTTTTGAGATGTCTTTCTTCTTTTCTTACGATGTCCATCAGCTGTTTATAGATGTTGGTCTTCCTCCTTTCTTTCTTGGGTGGCGCAGGAGTTGGCGACGAACTGACATCGCCATCGTTGGCATGTTCAACAGCAGCCAATATGCGGGAGTGGTCGCTGATTTTTTTGGGTCTCGGTGGACTGTCTAAGTTTCTCTTTTGTTTGGACAGCCAGCTATCCACAGCACGACTCTGCGTCCACGCCTCTGGATCTGGAGAGCTCATGACAGAAGACATAGATAGACGACCTGTAGACAACGAAATGAAATTAAGACATTTGGTTGTTGACATCGAACTAGAGCTACTCTAATGGGTGATGTTTTGGGACTCATTCTTAATGACAATCCGAAAGCAATACGGATGCAGACCAACACCATAATTCAGATTAGAGGTATCGTGCGGCTTTGAGGAGAACTCCAGACTAAAAGTCTGGTGCTGTCTGCTATGGTAACAAGCGAGAGCATTTTCCTAATGGGGATGCAATGGAGGAATGAAGGTGTCGGTTGGTTTACTCACGCTGATCTATGCTAAGATCGAGACAAAACTATTCACACCACACCTCTATTCGAAGTGACTTTTTCTCGTAACCATGGTACCCGCCACGACGTGAGACTGGTGTCTGGAGGAGTTCTCCTGAAAGACGCTCTATAACCCGGTCACCTCACCACGTTTCCCAACTGTGTATGAACTTCTCCGTCTCTGAAACCCACGAGGGCATTGTATTAGAGGGTATTTTGAACCTAATCCAGAAGACAAGGAAACTCTTGGATCAAGTATTGGGAGAAATTTGCCTTCGTGGAGGACTTTTTGATGGAACTAACCCGCATTTGCGTTATATGGACAGGAAGACCACGAGAATCTCCCACGGTTAGCCTGACGGCAAGGGGACTTTAACCCATAATCCGTCTGCCACTGAGGATCTGTCACGTCAGAACTGTGGTCGGTGCAAGCCGGACGTGGATTTCGTATCGACTAGCCATCGCCGAGATTCGAACCCGGTTGACCTTATTGAAAGACGAATGCTCTATCCCCTGAGCCACCATGACTCCCACTTTGTTCAATTAAAAACATTCCGCTCTTTTATTCTAAAATCATTCTTTTTGTTTCCAAAAATTTAACAATTACCTGCCAACTTTTACGATCTTCGACGAAGCTTTTACCTGGTGGAGGTAATTTGAAATGACATTGTAAGCAGATTTTTTATTTATATTTAGCCCACTCAACGAAATACGGGACAATGAATAGTAGATTTTCAATATATATGTTTATAAAACGTGTTTGAGAGAGAGAGAGTAGTCAAAATCATTTTAAATCAAATTTATTCTATATTACTAATTACGAAATAAAGAAGCAACTACAGTAGTCACCACTTCTTGTAGTGCACTAATCCGACCACTAGCTATACACGCCTTTCATAACTTGAGAAAGTAGAAAACTCTTATTATTTTTATTTGGGCAAGAGAAAACGGATTTTCATTTTAAAGCATATGTCTAAGAGAAATTTGATTTAACAAAACGGCGATAATGATTTTATTAAAAGATAGTTTTAGCTCAAGTTTGATACTGTAATGATCCTGTTTCTGCAGATTTGATTTTAAAAAAGTGCTAGAAAAAAAAACCTTGCCATAATGAAATCAGATTTTATTAGTGGTGGTCACTGTATTTATATAGTTCGCTCACCAGGAGTTGACGCTTGGTTCCACCTCCTCGAACGAAGATTTTATTTCGTCGCGGGGGTAAGAGATGAAAAGTCTCCGCGCTTGAAATTGAGACAACCTTTAATGCGCGCCAAACACATGCAGTGAATTCTTTTTCAGTCACTTACTTCGCTTTATCATCTGCTATTATACCTTTCGTTACTCTAGCTAATTAAATATACTGCAGCAAAATGTCTCAAAAAGGACAAACTATTCACTCAAAAGAAAGAAATTTCAGAAAATTTATGAAACATTTTATGTTAAAAAATGCACATAAAGATGGCGAAAAAAATATTTTTGTCATACGATCGCCAAATAGTAACCTCGTTCAGGATTGTTCACGCCCTTCTCCCAAAAATAGCGAAATAGTATCGCAGGATATCACGTGATGAAGGCGGAGTTAAGTGTCAACTCCTGGTGAACGAACTATAAATATCATCGAAAAGGGGAATAAATTAGAGCAACTATGTAACGAAAATCTAATTTTAATTCAATTCAAAAACCTTCGAAGACAAGTTTGACGCAATACTTAAATACTGCAAAAACACCAATTTTCTTGTTTTTCTGAGTTTTTAAAATTATAAATAAATGACAGTGAGTGGTTATTGCTTTATTCATATAGTTAAACCGTGGAGATAAATATAAATAGGATTATAAATTTTGGTTAGTTTAAAGTTTACGAATGAAGAACTTTTATACCTTTATTTGTAGGCCGCATTCCATTTGTTTGAACTGAATCTTCTAGAAGTGCAGGCGAACTCTGCCAATGACTCAATCTATTTGCACCATTGTGCATGCCTGTTTGAAAACGAAACGGCCTGATTCCGAGCTGAGCATGAGTCGCCAAGTCCGATGCAAAAAATGGAGATTGCGAATCCTCCCTGGATTTAGGCTCCGTGAAATATGCCTCATCGTCGAAATCTTCCTCGTCATCTTCATCGACATGGAGACTCTTCATCCTCTGGAGCTGTTGCCTGATTGTTATTTTCTCTTTGTTTCTTCTCTTCCTAACTTCGTCTTCTAGCATTTTGGCAAGTTCCAAATCCCTCTTCCTGCCCATCTCGATCCCGTTAACGTTACCTTTTTTCTTACCATGTTGTATGCTGAAGTTTGGTTTGTTAGATTCGAAGTTGCCATCGAATTTACGACGCATGTCGCTCACTCGTCCTTTCGTGGGTGGAGAGCAGATGTCCTCCTTGACGAACCCACCCTTCTCAGGTGCGTACATAATCTGCCCTTCTGTAGAATAGAATGAAAAGTTCGAATTCCCCGAGTCTGATGACTTCAACTGTTTACGCATATGGTCCGCTTTATTCATAAGTATATCACCCAAAAAGTCGCTGAAGTTATTCTTCATCATCATTTCGTACTTCTTTTTATCCGACAGCATCAGGTCCGAGCAGTACTGTTTACCTCTTTTCTGCAAACCGTACTGCCCGAACGTCCAATTTGAGTCCGAGACTACAATGTCTTCCTCGCTCATGTACTTGTTGCGCTTGCTTAAAAGCCTCTTGAATGTTGGCGCCGACTCCGAACTCGTTTGTTTCGTTCCCTTCTTCTTTGTTGACGACTGAGTATATCTCGAACTACCATTTAAATAACCGGGTGATGGCGTTGAGTTCGATTTTAACTCTGATCCGATGGGCCTCATGTTCGAAAACATGACGGTTGGAAGAGAGAATCTGGTTGATATCTCATTCAAGTCGGGTTGAATTCGAGGTACGACGGCCTCTTCGCTGTCTTCACTACTGACGTCGGAATCGTCCAAAAGATCTTGTCTCGGTGTCCAGTGGCTGTCACTCAGACTGCGCTGTTTGAGTCCATCGTTGTTGCTTTTGTACCTGTTGAAGTTGATGTCCGATTGGCGACGACCTCTGTCGTATGGTTGGTTCTGGGGAATGAAGCCATTTTTCTTGTATGGTGATGGACAGTCTCTGCCGTCGTCACTGGTGGAATGATTGCTGCTACCTTGGCCATCAGAGCCAAGTGCTTGCCAAGCTTTTGAAGCAGAAAACTTTGGCACTTCGGAAGTTTTTCTTGGAAGTACAGGGCGTAACCTAAAAAGGAAAAGCACGTTGAATACCATAAAATGTGTAATTATACAGATTGTTCATAAGTAACACTGAGAGAACGAAGACTCCACTCTTACCGCACCAAGATGTCAGATCTATAATAAATCTCAATTATTATGTCAAACCTCTTATGTATCTCAATTATCATGTCAGACCTATAATGTGTCTCAATTATTATGTCAGAACTATAATGTGTCTCAATTATTATGTCAGACCCGTAATGTGTCTAAATTATGTCAGACCTGTAATGTGTCTCAATTATTATGTCATACCTATAATGTGTCTCAATTATTATGTCAGACCTTTAATGTGTCTCAATTATTATGTCAGACCTGTAATGTGTCTCAATTATTATCTCAGACCTGTAATGTATCTCAATTATGATTTTATCAAACTGGAAAAGACAAACTGAAACTTAAAAAAAATTAGTTCCTCTTTGAATTACTTTAAACTGGGAAACCAAAATAAAACATTACAATAGCATCTCCAGCACCTTTGGAATGCGAATTTTTACACGCTATACTTTAAGAATTAAGTAGATTACTATGAACGAGTGCGCTTAACAGTTTCCTTGTTCTTAATTGAGGTGTTCGAATTTGCCACCATAATAATTTTTGGATTTTTCCGTCTTTTACTAGAAATTGCATTTAAGTTTTCATCCCAAAATAAATTGGCTTTTGATTATTTTAATCCCTCATTTGCTCTTATTGATACCAAATGTCAACATCAGTGACTATGAAGTCAAAAATGAATTAAAATTTTTTTTCGCTATGTTATTAATTTGCGATCTTTAAAGTGACGTGACTTGTTGGGGTATTTTTATTGATTTCATCCTAAAATTTACTGACTTCGTTTTTTTTCATAGATTTTAAAATGAATGTGTTGGATCACTGATTTATTTATACCCATATTTTGTGGCCTCTTAATCGCATGTTATTACAACTACAATCAGGCGTGATGAAACAGTTGTTACTACGTTGAGTCTCACGTGTATTTTTAAGGTAATTACTATCAGGCCACGCGCACTGCTTAAAAACGCTTGTATTGTGGTTATAACAATGCTAAGCACACTACTTAGAAATTAAAATAAAAAGAGATTTCATTTGTAATAAATAAAAATTAAGTAAATTTTAAATTATTTTTCAGTATTTGCTTAAAACAATGTAAATGTTTTAGTTTCTGTCAGATTTTGCATTCTCAGTCACCGATAACTTACGTGGTCCAAACTGAAAGTTTAGGGTCAATTGGCCTTAACATGTTATGATTTTTAGCTTTCAATGTGAAGGACTAAGTTCCATCCAGCGTTGCCAGCTTTAAACTCATTGATGGGTGCCACCTTGTCTGTGGAGTGTAGACGATCGATGTGTAATGCTGATTGTATTTCCACCATCATTCCATTGATCACGAAATTGTGAAGCTTTAACTTTCTCCTCGCCGACAAATGGCTTTGGCAAAAGTGCGTTTTTTTTCCAAGTATTACACGGGGTAATTTTTTTTAGTGCATTGTATTGTTATACACGAATATGTATCGGGAGAAGTTTATTTCTGCTTAATATCTGGGGAAAAGTTAATTTAGAACAATAGATGGCAGCACTTTACTGAAGGTTTCAAAGAATAGAGATTTATGTTCAAAGTGCGCGGCATTTTTTTGTTGCAAAATGGCGTCTAGTTCTTTGAAACGTTATATAGATGATTTATTTTTTTAGAAAATAATTAAATTATTATTATTTTTTTAATTTTTAGAAAATAATGCTCCACTAGAAGCGAACTTTACCACTGCCACGCTGAGTGGCAGCCGCCTCAAGCGAATATGCAGTGGCTACAAATGTAAAAATTTGAATTCATGTAATTCAAAATATCAATTTTTAACTACTAAGTATATTAGATTTTGTACTAGACATTTTTGCAATAAAAAAATTGATAATTTATGTACCCAAATCATCAAAATAACTTGACAGGTAAAAGATTTTAAACTTAAATGACGACTTTTTAAACGTCTTACCTTTACCTGTCATATGCACAAGATATTCTATTTATATTAAATTTAGGGTGTTCAGCAACCGTACCGACAGGACAGGGGTCATATTAAGAAACACATTATATACAAATGTATATAGGTTTATAATAAATGCGTTTCTTATCTTTCAGTTTTCGGACCATATCAGTTTATTTTTGAAGTATAACTCCTTAAGCTTTCCTTTTTCATTTTTGGACTGGTGGAATAATTGGGTTGAGTTAAAAGTCTTTGGGTGTTTTTTTTGGCAACAGATGGCAGTAGCGCAGTTTCTGAAATACTTGGAGCATTTGCAACAGTAGTTTTTACGTCATTGAGATATGTTTAAACTTCATTGTAATGAACAAATCGAGATATTTCGTTGAGTTTTGGAGATTTAACAGCAGGTTGAATATGAAAGATCAAAGTATTTATTTTCGCCATATTTTACAATTTTATATCAGTAAATGGAAAAACGCACGTTAAAGCTTGTGAAAAATTGTGTCAAGTTTATAGTGACAATGCTCTTAGTTTTTACTTCATTGATATCTGTTTAAATTTCCTTGTAAAGAACAAATCGAGACATTTCGTTGAGTTTTGGAGATTTGACAGATCGTAGAATATGGAAGATCAAAGTGTTCATTTTCGCTATATTTTAGAATTTTACTTCATTTCTGTAAAGAAGTCATTAAAATGTCCTGAACTCATATGTTGTTAAGGAGTAGTGTTTCATCATGACAACGGGAAACCACACATAAAGTTGGCGACTTGACAAAAGCTATTAGAGCTGAGATAGGTTGTGTTTTTCCACCCACCATACTCTCCTGACTTTGCAGGGTATGGTGGTAGCTCTCTTCAAAATTTCTTGCGGAGAATAACGTTAAATTAAGATGAGGCTATAAATCAGAACCTTGAGCAATTTTTCACAAATAAAGACAGGTCCAGCTTCAAACGAGGAATTATGAAACATACCGAACGATGGCAAAAGATCATCGAACAAAACGGGACATAATATCATTGACCAACCTTTATATAAATATATGACTATAAAAAATAAAAATAAAAACGCAAAGACTTTTTACTCAACCCAATAATTCTACGGAGCGTTCGGAATTTGGGGGATTCGATTGTTTGTGGGGCCCCACAGTATCTGTATGCATATTAGTAGTCTTGAAGAATCATTGTTGATAGATCCCGAACACTCCGTGGCCTGTAAGAACTTGGTTTACTTAAAATAAAAATTCTTAAATAATGAAGATTTAAAGCTCTAAACAATCGATTTTTTTAAAAAAAAATTTTATTAGGTAATGGGTTTAAAAAAGTAATGTAAATTAGTTCATTGCAATTTTCTTCATTTGTTTTCCAAAGTTAATTTGGGTAAGGAACAATACTTTTATGTATGAATATCTATCTGCTATAAAAAAGCATATTAGTGATAAAAAAAATCAATTTCTCATACCTTAAATCGATTTCAGATTCAATGCTATTTTTAGACTGCATATTTTGTAATAAGCTGTCCCAGTCTTTTTCTTGTCCATTCTGTTGATAACTTGGTGTAGAACTTCGGCTTGGGGATTTAAACCGTTTTCGTGCGGGAGAAAATCTTTGCAAAGAAGGCACTATTTCATCAACATTTGTTGAGTCATGTTTAGAACTGGGCAATTGACGGTCTTCGATACGAAGAGCGGGAAATTTAGAAGTTTCTTCCACACTAGAACGTTTATCAGATTGTTTCACGTCTTCGGATGGATTTAAGTCGGTCTTTTTGCTGCCCATCTTGAAAATTTCCACATCGGCGAAATAGAATTTCGGTGGCGAGGTAGTTTCCCGTGACTTAGAATTTGGCGTAATGTCCGTAGACGACTGGGGAAGATTCTCGTTCCTCGCGGTGGTCACTGGCGACTCAGTCTCAGTTTGGCGGCTTTGCGCGATTTTTTGGGTAACCGCCTGGATTTCTTTCTGGAAAGGATCTGGCCGATGAGGTAAATAAGATGGTACCTTAGTTTGGCTTTCGGGTATTTTTCTACTGTCGAATACGGTCGTCCTGCTTGGGGAGGACTCGTCTTGTTCGTCGATTCTCACATCACCAGAGCTACGACAGTTTCTCCATTTCTCTAAAGGATGCACATTCTTTTCGTAACCCATTTTACTGTCTCTGCTTGCCACAGCTCTCGTCACATAGGGTGACCTAGATAACAGTTCACTTTGGGACTTGGAATGGTGGGAAACGTTGACCATGGTTCTTGTTGTCACCATACTAGGTAGAGGAGGAGGTGGAGGAGGGTGCACAACAATGGCTGGAGGCTGCGGTGCTTTAGATTTACCTATACACTTGCACGCCATATTCCTTCCATTACCATCCTTCTGGATATTTGGCGATTTTCTTTCCAGTTGCCTTGGTAAACTGTTGCCAGATGGCGGAGGATCCGGAGCCCTTGCTTTTTTCTTGTACTTCATTTTACTGGTCCTGACAGCGGCTCCGCCCGTGCAGCTCCTCCGATTCGAATACATTTCTGGAGGATCTTCCTCGTAACCATTGGGCACTGGACGCCGAGAGATATTCGGATCACTGTGGAACAATCGGTGATTTCTGAGATTGAATTGATGGTAGCAATCTTCATCTTTCTCGATCAGTTCCGACCGTTTCCTGAGGATTCCCATCATTTCTGGATCAGTCCTGTCATCGTTGCTGGTGCTGCCTCGTCTCTGGCCTCGAATGGTGCCGGCTGTTTGAAGGATGCTTCCGTTGTCCGTGCTGCGCAATCGCTGGCCAGCGATCGGTTGCGGAAGCACCCTGTTTTGGGGGTGGACATACTTTGGCACTCCTCTGTTATCGTAATACCCATTGCGAGTGGAATAAACAGATGACTGGAATCTTGGTGATCCTAAGATGATGGATTGGGAGGTACCGTTTCCCATCTGGTCATCGGTGCCTAGAGTCTTAGTCGATGATTCCTCGAAGGGTCTTCCGAATTCGGGCCATTCCTCTGAAAGAAAAAGCTTTATCAAGGAAAATGTTTTAATAATACTCAACAGTAACAAACATTCACTCAAAAGTGTAGTACAGGTTGAATAATTTTTATTTTATTATATTATTTATTTCTTGACTGAGGAAACTAAGATAGTATTAACAGCAGTACTTTATTTACGTCACATTAAAGCTGTTTAACGGGTTATTGGCGACGGTTTGGGAAAAAGTCCCTGAGGATGATCGGAAGACATACCATCACAATTTTGATCCTCTGCCAAGGGAATGGCTCCCCTTCTTTGGTAGCAAAACGGCCTGCAGGCGAAGGACATATACCGTGCATTCTCGGTCCCGTCGCAAGCTGACCAAAATGGTCACTCACCTGCTTACTGACCACAACCAGAGATGCTTTAATAATTATAAACTCTTATTAGTTATTTTGGTATGATTTCAAAAAGCGTCAAAGTTTTCTCATGAGTAAGTAAAACACTCTTTCAGCATAATCGAACGTTTTGACAAAAAATTTATTTGAAGTTCTGCCAGTTAAGCGTTTACGAATTGTTTCATTTATTAGTTCTTAATTAAAAATTCGTGAATCCATAACCTAATATTGAATAGCAATTTCCATTAAAAAAAGTTTCCAAATTTCTTAAACAACAGGCAAATGTTTCCTCGTGGTACAAAAAAAATGTTATTTGCGTACGATATAATTTTTATTTTTTTATCCAAACCTTAAAAGTTCAAATTAGTTTTACCTAACTTACAATTTGATTGACAATCAGCATATACTACATCAGCATATTTAAGTTTTTTTATGAGTAATTATTTGTTTCAAAAAATTACGATCACTCATAAAAATGTACTTATTAAGTACGGTGATTGAATATTGATTTTAGATTCTTTTTGAATTGTGATCACACAGTGATTGATTATAACAAAAACCTTCTCTATGAATGAATACATTTAAATTGCAACTACCAAGAATTTATAAGCGAACATTAACAATATTATTTATTATCAATTGCAGAGAATAATTAAATTGCGATTAATATACATTAGTTTTAAACATTAAATTAATTGCATAAAATCATTGAGTCTATATTAATGTTAAAGAATATATGGATTGTAATGCTCATGGCCATGTGTATCAAATATAAACATTAAGTATATTGTGATGACTATTGCGTATTAATCATAAACAATAATAATGTTAATAAATATAAGTATCTTTTTCTTATCCATCTAAGTTGCTTCTATTTATTACTAATTATTTTGATTTTAATAAGTTTTAGGTTTGGTGTAACCAAATCATGACTCTTGCGCCAAACATTTATGTTCCTCACTCACTCTTATTAGTTTTAAAGCATATTTCAAATGTGATCTTTATCTAGAAAACGCATTAAAACATTAAATTTGTTTTGAATTTGAAAATTAGTCTAATATTACATTTGAACAGAGATCACGATATAAGGCATTAAGTATATTTTATTAGTACGGATTTTTTAAGCAGCTTTTAATTTCGTCTATAAGTGAATATTAAGGAGAAATTTGGAGCCTTTAACAGACTCTTCAGAAATTATTTTATCCTTCACACATTATTTTACCATAAAAATGAACCATTCACAAGTTATTTTTTAAGATAATAATGGAAAATGGATATTTATCTTATAAACGGACTCTTAACAATATATTCTGTAGTAAATACGAACTTTTATAAAATATCTTATCTTAAAAATGGAAATTTTTCAAAATATTTTATCTTAAAAATGGAAATTTTTCAAAATATTTTATCTTAAAAATGGACATTTCACAAAATATTTTATCGTAAAAACAAACTTACACAAAATATTTTACCTTAAAAAACGGACCCTTAACAATCTTTTTCATTTTAAAAATGAACCCTTCACAAAATTTTCCTTTTGAAAGACAAAGTCGATGAAAATATTATTTTATAGTTTTAAAAGAAAAACATTGTTTTTGCGTTAAAAAAAAAAAAAAAAAACTAGGAGCTTTTTTTCAAATATTCGCAAAAACAGGACCTAGGCAGAAAAAACTGGATTACATGTTAATTTGAGATTTACACAATGGCTAGATTTTTCAAAAAAACAAGACCTTTCCCCAATAGACTGGGCAATTATGATTTTTCACAATATGTCAAAAATAAGAGCCTACTTTCCCAAATTCAAAAAATAATGAGAAGATTTTTCGCAATTTTACACACAAAAAAAAGACTTTTTACGAAAAGTTTGATTTGATCCCTTGATACTTAAAAAAAACATATATAATGAGTGAACATTACTTTTAGAAAATTTAATGAAAACAATTATGATTTTTCACAAAATTTAAAAAATAAGAGCCTTTTTCCCAAATTCAAAAAATAATGAGAAGATTTTCCGCAATTTCACAAAAAAAAAAGACTTTCTACAAAAAGTTTGATTTGATCCCTTGATACTTGAAATAAATATATATAATGAGTGAACATTACTTTTAAAAAATTTAATTAAAACATTATTCAATGTCAAAAATGATGAAATTTTTTATTCCTTTATCTTTGTGACCTTCATCATTAGGATAAATGGTAGGGATGGTAAAACAGAGATGATTTAATCCAACAGAGGTTACGTCCTACTTAAGAGCGAATATACAGTAAAAGTTTTACCATTCATGATTTTAAAGTTTTTTTTTAAATGAGAACTAATATTATAACTAATAATTAATTTCGTAATTTTATTAGTTTTAGTGCATTTTTGAACATTCTTAAAAGATAATTTTAAAAAAAAATATTGAAAATCATACCACTCCAAACTTGAAGCATCCTAACGTAACAAAATGTATCCATTTCTGCCAAATACAGAGTTGTACATTTTGAAGGGCATTTTTGAAGACTGGTTTCTTTTTCAAGAGTAATTTTATTTAGTCCAGAGTTTTCTACAAATATGTGCCCCAGAGCCCTTTTTTTATGTGTTACCCGCTTAGGGCCTCACAGGTGATCTGGTTTTTTTTTTGCCGAGAATAGAAAAATGGTCGCCAAAGTTAAACTTTTGATCACGTTTTAACTTTATTTCAGAAACGCGTCTTAAATATAAATAATTTCAACTTTTAGTGACATTTTTTTTCTATTCGTTTAGTTTCTTCTTTAGTAGAATTTTTTTATCGTCTGAAACTATTTTTTCTATCGTCTGAAATTATGTTATTTAATTCTGTTTTAAGATTTATATGAATCGTAGTGAAGTGATTTTGAAAAGTTTAATAAGAAATTTAAATTCCTTGATAAGACATTTCTTAAGAAGACATTTTAAATTCCTTAAAACTGTGTTAAGAAATAAAAAATTAATAAAATAGTAGATAATGCATGATAAATTGTTAATTATATTTAAAATTATTGTATGCTTTAGATCGCAATTCTTGGAAAACTTTTATCAAATAAGAACGAATAAATTAATTAAGCATTAATGAATTTAATTGGAAGGATAAAAATAGGTCTTAGGCACTGAAAGACGGCACAATATTTATTTAATAATTAATAGAGAGAGAGAAGAATCATCAAAGTGGCACAAAATTGTTGTGCTCCACAATAAAAGTTAGGGAAAATCTTTCAAAGTAAATCCGTAAAATGTCTCGATTTGGGGAATAAAGGAAATCGTAGTAATTGTAATTGGTCTATTATATAGGTCCAGGGAAAAAGTCTTTCCCATGAAATAGTTAAAGAGATAATCGTTAAAATGTGTCTTGAACGATAGAATATAATTCCTTGGATAACATTCATTTTGAAATCTTTTAGACTTATTGGTGCAATTAAAACCTAATTTTTTTTGTAGACTTCAAAAATATATATCAGGTTAATCATGAATAATCAATCAAAAATAAACAGTTAATCAAAAATATATATCAAGTTAATTCGCAATACCGAAAGATATTTCAAAATTTTTTAACTTTTTTCAGAACCTTAAACTTTTTACGTATTGTGCGTACGTGAAAAGTTTAAGGGGGCATATATTTGTGCTAACTGTGTCTGCTGCACATATCTTGGACTGGTCTAATGTACAATACAGAGAGTGGTCCAAGGTAAAGAAAGCATACATATCTTTGATTTTGTTAGGCATATGAAAAATAGATTTTATTTTCCTTGAAACTTGGTATTTAATGAAATTTTTGGTATTTATCTATCTTAGTTCCGTTATTAAATATAAGTATTTTAGGGTTTTATTTTCCAATTTGAAAAAAAAGGAACAAAAAATGCATTGGCTCATGCTTGGTAAGCCTAAAGTAATCACCAACACAGAAAAATTATACGTTGTTGCACATATTAACTACATTAAGCTAATAATTTTTTTCCTCACGAGGAAAAAAAATTCCCAGATATTTATCTTAATGTTGATGCATGATATCTTAAAGACATTTTCTTGTAACTAAAATAGGAAGAAGGTCAGTTCAATTGATTATTGGGTGTGAAAAGAAAGAATGGAAAAAAACCTACACACACAACTATCTTTAAACGCAAAAGAAATTCATCCCTGAATGAAAAGTTTAAAAAACTCATTTAGAATAAGATGAAGAAATATGAGTTATAAAGAATCTATCTTTCCATTTGGAAACTGTGCCAATCATTCTTTTGTAAAAGTCTTTCATCTTTGCCTGAAAATAGACAATGATCTTCATTAAGAGAGGACAAAAACTTCTCTTTAGAGAGAATTTACAGGAGGTTTGGCGATAATTGTTTTTAGAATATCATTTCGCTAATGATGAGGCCTTTTTTTTGCCCACGAAATTTCAATTGTGTCTACAGAGGCTTTTGCAATGCCGTAAGCAAAGCTTTTATTGCAACCAATCGTGATTTTTGTTTTTTTATTCAACTTATAATAAGCTAAGACATCTTTATGCTGATTACGAAGCATACTTGAATTGTGAGAAATTCTAACTATTACGGTAATTCTTAATTCTAACTATCGTTGCATTTTAAGGAACGGATAGAGAAAATATTTTCGTTTTAAACTAAGATTTTTCTTTTAGAATTCTATT